TGCATTGTTTTATTTTTTAAAGTAATTCTTAGTATAAATATCCTCACATGATCTCTAATTTATTTATATTATTTATTATTTATTTATTTTTATCTATAAACTTTAGTTATGTGGCCTTATCCACATGCATACTATTTCTTATTATATTTAAGCAAAATTTTCTCATCTCAAATTTAAATAAGTTTTATCGTTTTTCTTTTGTATAATAAAATTTTTGATTTTTTTTTCTCTATTTGTTCTTTAATTTTTCTATTATATTATTCAATACTTAATATTATTATATTATTATGTGGCTCAATTTCTTATCATAATTATTTATAAACAAAATCTTATCTCAAATGGTTACAAAAATGGTCCCACTATCATTTATTTCTACATAATATTTCTAAAAAATATATATATGAAATGGAAGAAAAGGGATCATGTGGTTAGTAATTCTAAAATAGAATTCTTATTTTTAGAAAGTTTTGGAATCTATTTACAATGAAAATAGAAGTCAATATTAGTTGATTTATACCTTTAAGGTAAATTTGATCAAATTTGTTTTGCCTTAATTCTTATTAGATTTTGTCTGAGTGGTTAAGATTTGTTCTTCGTAAGTTAAATTTATTAATTATATAAGAAATATTTATTTATGTATAAAATATGCCCGATTTGTCAATATTAATAGGACTTGATTATTCTTGTTATTAAAATATATTTTACTGATTATTTAAATTTTTTTATATTGTATATAATTTGTATATTTTATGTAAGATTTTATTTTGTTGCTTGAACTTTTTTTAATTTTTAAAGTCAATAAATCTTTAATATCTTAAGTAAATTTTAGTTATATTTTACATCTTAACTTACTCTAAAATATAAATAGTCCTATGTTATCTCAATTTACGTCTTTCTATATTTTTTATTTTTTTCTACTATAGTTTTTAAATTAACTTTTTACCTTCATATTTCTAGCTAATATAGAAGAAAATCTATAAGTAGATCATTTTATGATCTAAATATAGTAGATATGGATATAAATATAAATATAGATAATAGATTAAATTTGTCTAATATCTATCTAGATTATGTATAAGATTCATTCAACTACTTCCATTAATTATGTTTCCATTTATACTATGTAATTATAGATATTGCCTTAAAACTGCAAAGTGGCTTCATTTTAGCTTGTCACTTGCTTAATGGAAAAAATTTAGTTGATATAAAACTTTTAAATATTAGGAGAAAACTTAAATTCTGAAGAAAAAAAAAGTCTTGTTTACTGATAAGACATCCAATGTCAAACAAATTAATAGTTTTGTTAACTTGTTTGAATTAGAAATTAATAAGGTTAACAATCAACTTTTGGTCTTAATTTAATAATAAACTCTGAATATTAAAATAGAAATTGAAAGTGCATTTCTTTAATCGTGCCTATTCAATTTCAAATTACAAATATTGACTACCATATTTGTAAGTAGAGATATGTTGACTTTGAATTTCTAAATACAAAAACTTTTACTTGTTTCAAATAAGGAAAAAATATTAACCAAATTTTAGTTAAAATTAAAGTCTTAAATATTTAGGAGATAATTAAATGGCTATTCCTAAATATTAGGGAATTCAATGATGATTCCTAAATATTAGGAAATTAATATAAATGATTGTTTTGTCTACTGTGAACTCTATTTTTAAAGGGCAAAAAAGGCGAATTACATTTCGCTAAGGGTCTTTATGCTTTTAATATATAAGATAAGATAAGATTTAGGCATGAAACATTTATGTTACCTAGTAGGGAGCATATAGTACTTTTTAAAAAAAAGTAAGTAACAGAAAAGTAATTTGTGTAAAACTATTGCCGTACTAAATGGACAAAAAATCTACTATATGTCTATCTGACAAAGCTTTCAAATTGAGTTTAAATAGTATTTGTTTTACTATTTTCATTCATGTTGGATAGGTATGTGACAAGTTAGATCTAATAAGTACCTATTAAGATTTTGACACATTTATTAATAATTAATTAATAAAATTATGAGGATGATTTGACTAAATTGTTCTTTATCTTTACTCATACTTTTTAGATCGTTATTAGAATGTGTGTAAATTTAGAAAAATTACTTAATCTATTTCTGATTTTCTGAAGCAAGACACTTATTGACCGGAGAGCCGTTGTAATGTCCATAGGTAAGAGGGAATATAACACTATATAGCCGTTTTTAAAATAATAGTCGAAATAAATAAATATATATACATATACATTTCTGTATATTATATATAAAAAATATATATATATAATTTATATATTTTTACGGTTATCGAATATAAATAATTTCGACCGTGGATTAAAAGTAATCTTTGCCCCAGGTAAAATGAGATTAGAATTAACTTCTGTAGAGAAGAAATTACATTAACCACCCAAAATAGGAACCTTTGGGGAAAAAGTAGGCAAGTAGCAATACCAAGTTAACGAATTAAGATATTGAAAGAATTATTTGAGTGACATGAAAAAAAAAAGTTTTACACCGACAATACATATAATTTACATTTCTTCTTAAAAACACTAATTGCTCTAAATTTCACTGTGGACTCCTTATTACGTTTTTATTATTTTCAAGTTAGAAGGAGGCTTTAGTGCAACAGTAAAGTCGCCTCAATCTGACCTATAGGTCACTAGTTTGAGTCGTGGAATCAGTCATTGATCCTTGCGTCAAGGTAGGTTACCTCATTATATCTCTTGAGGTGCAATCATTGTCCAAATCCTGTATAAATATGGGATGTTTTATATGTTATATGTTAAATCTTTTAGCTTCATCATATGTATATATTATAGTAAAAATAGTACGGTATAGCCAGTTTTCGGACTGGTCATTCAAAAATAGTCAGCGTTTACCAAGTCAATGAAAAATAGCCACTATTTTGCTGCAACATAGACCGGTCCAGCATAATATACTGGAGTTCGGTGCACCTGTGTATGAACTACAGCATATTATGCTGGATCGGTATACTTTGCTGGCTCCAGTATAATATACTGGAGACTGGAGCACCGGTGCTCCAAACTCCAGTATATTATGATGGACCGGTATACTTGCTGAGACTGGAGGACCGATATACTTGCTGAGACTGGAGGACCGGTATACTTGCTGGAACTCCAGTATATTATGCTGGAGTTCTAGTGTACTTATGTTGGAACTCCATCATATTATGCTGGAGTTCCAGCATACTTATTCTGGAACTCTAGTATAATATGCTGGAGTTCAAGTATACTTATGCTGGAACTCCAGCATAATATACTGGCATATTTTTCGGGTTTTGAACAGTATTTTCGCTCAGATTTATCTTTACATGAAAAGTGACTTAATTTCGATTACTTTTGAAACTGGGCTATTTTTGATCGACCAGTTGTAAATCTGGCTATTTTTTAATTTCTCCCTATACTATATGTTGAATTCCTTGATGTCTTCATGCGTTTCCTTTTTTATATTTTAACTCTTTTTCGTGAAAATTTTGGTTCCACAGTCTCTTATATATATGTGGGTTCGACTCTGATTATCCTTCTCCTCTAGGCTTTGCCAATCTCATATGTAATGAAAAAAATTTAAAGGAAAATATGTTCAACTTACAAAAGGAAAAGGGAGAGAGATGTTGTGATTAAGTAGGCGTTTGGACATAAGAATTGTAAAATTCGAAAAAAATGGTGAAAATTTTTTTCAAGTGAAAATGGCATTTGAAATTTAGAGTTGTGTTTAGACATATATTTCAGTTTGGGTTATTTTGAAGTTTTGTGAGTGAAAATTTTGAAAAACAACTTAAAGTTTTTCAAATTTTCGAAAATTTCCAAAATACATTTTCAAGTGAAAATTAAAAATTGTATGAACAAACGATGATTTCGAAAAAAAGTGAATTCTTTTGGAAAAATCTTCCATCAAATTTTATGTCCAAACGGGCACTAAATATCTCAATCTATATTTTTTGGTGTTTTGTTGGGTGGGGGGTGGGGGGTGTTTGATTGGGTGATTGAGGAATGTGAACAAATTTAAGTGAACAAAAGGCCCACCCACATGCAAAGGATTAATAAGTCAATACTTTCATACCTTCAGTTGCTATCACCTTTTTCTTTTTAATTTCTTTTCTAAAGTCACATTCGACTTTTTTGTAAAAGAAAGAAAGACCAAAAGTATTTTCCTATCAAAACCTCACACATATCACAATCACTTATAAATTGTTTGTATCCTGTGTTCTTTGCTTATAGAAATCAATCCGCGGAGCTAGAACACGATCTACAAACCCAATAGATTTTATTCATACCATATATTTGTCGTAGAAATTCATCGAATATATATAATTTATTAATTTAGAACTCATTAACTTAACCAGATTAGATTCTCGAACCCATAAACTTCAAATCCTGCCTCCTCCTCCGTATGGATAGACCAGCTCTTTGGATTGTAATAAAAAAAGGGAATACCATGTAATTCAAGACATGGATGTAAAATTGGAGGAAAGATTGATTTATCCTTTGACTTAGTTTTTTTAGTTCCCTCTTAAAATCAGCATATGTTTTTCTTCTAAATTTAATTTATTGGAAAACGAAGATGGGTAATCAATACCAACTACTATGCAAGTGGAATCGGCTATATGAGGATTCATCATAACTTCAATTAGAGAACGCCATGATTTGCAAACGCGTTTGAGACAAGACGTGAATGGATTGTTAATTAGCATCTTTATGGATGGATTTTTGTGATTTATTGTCGTGATATACTTGAAGTAAATCTGTGCTCTAATTCTACCCAACTTCAAATTCCCTTCCATCCCGAAAACAGAACCAAACATGACCGTAAAAAGGAATAGCTAACTCGAATGAATTAAAAAAATTATAAAGAACGAATAGCTAACTCGAATTAATGAAAAAATTAAACTGAGTTGTAATCCTATAGGGCATTAGGAGAGATTAAAGTCTCTACATATGCTAGTGTAACATATTTAGAGTAATAGTAGCCTTCATGCAGACCAACTTTAACTTGTTCAAGCCCATCAACTTCAACTTCTACAAATTTTCGTCTTTTTGAATCATAAACGTTGAATATAAACTCATCATCTATATCCTGCAAAATCAATACATCTAAATCCTTACTAAAAGCCAAAGGGTTGGTCCAACATATATCATCCCAGAAATCTACAGGATTTGTAATTGCTACTCCCATATTTTACTCCATTTGCTACTCATTCCATTCTTTTCCATACAGTACCAAACTTTACAATCTTGCATCTCATTAATACAGGTCGAACAGATAGCCAAAATGTTTTCTCCCACAGTTAATACATCTGCCCCATCTGGATATAATATTTCTTCAATTTTTTCATTTTTCAAATCCAAACATTGAATAATCTCGTGGTCATGCTCAACTGTGATCAAATAAACAAATACATCATCTACAACTATTTCTCCCCTAAAGCCATCGCACCGAGGTAACTTGCCAATCAGTTTCCACGAGTCAGTTTTAGTCGAAAATATTTGAACATAATAGCCATCTGATCTTGTTCTTACAACTCTTAACTATTTCGTAATCCTGGAAAGAAGAAACATGGCCTAAACTATAGTAACTCTTACCCCAATTCGCATCAGGGATTGGACTAGGGATTATTCTTGATTCTCTGATGGTCGGGTTCCACAAAACAATTATGTCAGAAGAGAAGCATAGAAGAGATAAACCATTGCAAGAATTCACAAATACAGAATCACACGTAAATAATTCATCCCATAAAATTTTGATATCTTGAAATGGAAGCTCAAGAGGAGAGACAACAGAATCATGTCGAAGTGGAGCATCTATGGAGTAGCAGTCTAGGTAACACGACCTGTACCAGCAAGCCAATAAGATTCTGTGACAATTTATATCACTTTGGCATCCGTCACGGTGTTGTTTGATGAATTGACGATCTTCAATTAGAGAACGCCATGATTTGCAAACAAGTTTGAACTTTCCAAGTGATTTGACAAGAAGCTTTAGCAGTATATCGACGACGATATCATCGGGAAAGTTATGAGGCATTCTAACAGCTAAAAGATTTTGGGTTTGAGCTACTGTTTGTTTTGGTCTAAAGAATTAGTGTCCTAGATATAGGGTTTAACATAAGTGAAGCAAGCAAACAATTAACGCTGCTTTTTTTCCTTTTTTAGGTAGAAGAAGGATTCTTAACATCTAAACTTTTTAATTCGTTTACCCAACTGTCATATCGCTTATTTTTGCCTTTTCCTAGTGGGAATAGGATTTCAATTTTACCTTTTTCTTATTCGATTGAGCCAATATTTCTTCTGTCATACCTGAAACATTTGCTGATTTTCTTTCGCAACCTTGTCAATTTGCTTGAATAGTTTCCACCAATTCCAACATATAAACCAAGTTCCTTACTTCCTCATGCAAGTTATCTACTGCTTTCGAGTATAATTCTAAAATACTAACAAATGAAGCGTTAAGAAAAAATTGCACTGGTATCTTAAATAAGGTTAAGAGAAGCACGGTTCAGTATTCAATAGAAGAACGAAATAATCATGAATATATCAATCACACATGACATATAATGTATTCAAACTTCATGTGAGTAAGTGAAGGGTTTTACGATGCTTATGCTCCAACTTCCTACCATGGCAGGTGATGATCTACTCTTCTACACTGATTGCTTACAAAATTGGGCAAAACAAGAGCTCTAACGCCATAAGGTCAAGGACATCGATGAAGCCATCGTAGGGCCTGCGTCTTTGACTGAATATAAGGCGAAGGGGCATAAGGGAAGAGATAACAACGGTAAAGCCATCAAAGGTGATACCTAGAGAAAGATTACTTATTTAAAAACAGGATTTGGTTTTAAAGTAAGTGTATCTCAACAAGAATTTATTACACTGCAATAATCTTTTAGATGGCTTCTATCTATTTTACAACAGCGGAATTACCGGGAGCACTTTAAATTATCGCGAGGTTCTACAATTGTGATTCAGAAACAAAGACTAGCACAACAATGTGAGACATGGAATCTACCTACCTAGTAGAATTGGATGGTGCTTTGGACAAAGCTCGACTGGACCGCACTTTAGATAAATGAAGCTGAGGCTGCATTTCTTCTCAACTACCTTAGCAACAAGATTCTTCTCCAGCCAAGGGTCCCGAGTCTTCACGTTTTATTATCAACAATCTCCGGAAGGCTCTTCAGTGCCTGTGGTGGAAAAAGAGATTTATACCAACGGAACAGAGAAAGAAAAAAAAGATTATGATATGATGATTAAACCATGATTTTTACTGCTGACCTGATACAAGTACCAGGAAACAAAGGCATCCGTAGCAGCATATTGTAGTTTTTCCTTAGATAACTCATTAGCCTCCCAATTTCCCAACCTGATCTTACGTGGCTTGGGGAGCTGCAAGAACAAGAAAATCTCTGTTGAATCTCATACTTAATTGCAAGAAAAAAAAAAAGAATTCAAATTGAAGAAAAGAAAACTAGAAAGATCTACAGGGAGTAGCAGCATATAATAATTACTCCTAATATAGCAAGACAATGTCTTCCCAGCAAGACTTGCACTCAAAATATGCACATATGTCCAGCTGATGATGTAGCATTTCTATTTGGTTTCTTTTCTAAACAGTTGCAAGGTTGAAGTTCACCACACGTACTTTAACAAGTCAACTAAGTAAAACTCAGTCGATCGATACAAACAGGCTCAGCAGCCCTACAAACTGGAATAAAGCAAGAAACCAATCCCCATTTCCCCCTCTGCCCTCCCAACCCCCAGTTCAAGGATCTTAAATGGCGGCAAGGAAAAACACAAAATAAAGTAACATAGTAATAGATATCGTTGAAACAGAAACCAAAAGAAAACCTGCTTGGCAAGAAGCTTCTCAGTTAGTGATGCTAGACTCCACTTCTTGGGCTCTTCATCAAGCTTTTTGTTGGCGAGTTCAGAAAGATCTTCCAAAGTCTTTACAGATACATTGTGATCTACGGAAACTTTGTAAGCATCATTTGCAATCCACACACCCACCTATTGATTAATTGGAACACTAAAAAGTTAAAAACACATATCCTATTATTGTTTGATAAATGTTCCTGAAAAATGAACAAGTGTCAACCTTCACAACTGTTGGATCCTCAAGAAGAGATTGCAGAGTTTGAGGGATTCCGGAGTGAATAATATGCAGAACGTAACAACTACTCTTGTCGCCACATATCTGCATAACAGCAGCCTTCCCAGGTGCCACGCCTGAAGAAAGCACCTATTATTATGTAATGAGCGATACTAGGGTGCAATTTCACAAATAAAGACAATGAAATGAAGTACAAAATCCAATTAATTTAGTATGTGACAACCGAAACAAAAGGTCATGAGGAGTTATATGTGCCTTCTTATACTAAAGAGTATGCTTAAGTAAAAAAAAGTATGAGACACAAGAAGTGAAGCCAAATAGGGAATAAGTGATGCACAGATCACCTGTAAAGGCGGTATTTACAACAACAACAACGACCCAGTTAAATCCCACTAGTGGGGTCTGGGGAAGGGCGGTATTTAGTATCCAATAATTAATCTTTTTGAGCATAAAAAAAAGAATAATATCTCAATCAAATATTTTGGCAGAAATAAATAGAGAGAAAATAAGTCTTCCTAATCACCATGAGCTACATAGGATTCTTGGTCGATATCCAACTTAAGATGCAGGTGCAATCACTAAGGTCCAAGGAATTGTCTGTTTTCTAAAAGCATCTTTGTCATCAGCATTTTCTGGATGTACTTTTCATGGTAAACCTGGAAACCAAGAATCTTAGCTATCAAATTCTCCACTCTCATTCCTCTAAGCAGATGACAATTGATAAAGTGACATGCATATTGAGGATTCATATATCCAGCTCCCACTAGCTTTGATTGAAGCATAGTAGTTACCGTTCTCGTTGTAGAAAACAACAGATCAAGTAAATTTCCTTAAAATCACGTGATGAACTATCAAAATTCATCAGGTGTCATAACAAACTATATAATCTTTTGAACCAGCAGGGATGGTACTTCAAAAAAAAATTCACAAGTTATAACTTACACACGACAGTAAAAAAATAACACATTCCATTTAACGCCAACTCAAATGAAGCTTAGTATAAATGAATTCAAAAGCTAGTACACTGAAAGACTGATAGAACTCAAGAATTCCCATTGAAGTTTGCAAAGCTCAGACTGAAGTCAAACTATTAACATTGATCTGACCTTTTCTAAAACTGGGCCTCCATTCAATGTCAAATCCAAGAGCAACATGCCCTTCTTTCCTCTTCTTTTCCTCAACAAAATTTAAAAGCTCTACTGCAGAATTCTCCACTTCTTTAGTAGTTCTGCTATATATAACACGTCCTTTAAATGATATTTCCGGGTATTGCATCACTATCTTAGCTGCTACATCACAAACAAAAAATAAAAAAGGAAACTTGGACATTAAACCCTTATTCAAAAATTAGCAACCATCTTAATATACAACACTAACAAACATTATTAATTTTCCCTAAATTTTCACAGAATTTCACCATGAGATCAAAATAAGATAGGTAAACTTTGGAGCAATAACCGTATGCCAAACTGTTTACAATGTGCTACAATGAACTAACATTAGTTCGCTATAAATCATCTCATTAAGGGTTAAATAGATTTTTTTAAAGCTAAATTGCCGCCAAATATAGAAATGTCATTCTTTATTAGACATGCAAAAATGAAGGTGTGCCACATAAATTGGGATAAAGCAGTATAACTTTATTTCCACTCCTTACGACTAATATTACGTGAGTTTAAGTTATATTCACCGTCATATTAAGAAATTATTTAACACTATTAGGTCACTCAAACGATATTTGCAAATCCAACATCTTACAATGACAGTGTATATCATATTACATTCTACTATAATTATACTAACTCAAACTACAACATGATTTTTTTTTAATTTTCAACCAAAAATAATTACTCCTCAAAAACATTTAACTACAATGAAAGGAAAAAAAAAAGAAGAGAAAAGCCGTTACCTTGAGTAGAAGAACGAAAGGAATAACTACACTGAGACCGAGTTCTAGTGCAAGGAGACAAAGACGACATCGAATTAGTAGCTTCATTTTGGAAGTCAAAAACAAAAAGCGATTCCGGCAATCTCCGGCGACTTTTCCGGCGATTTTCGTCGCCATCGCCGGCGGAAGATGAGTCTTCGGAATTCTGAAGCCTTTTAGTAGCTGATTGAAATGCGACATCAATTTCATGGAGTTCTTCTTCTGTAAAAGGTCGATCCCAATCGTTTGATTCGCTAGAAATTGGGGGGGTTTCCATTTTCCTTTTGCTAAAAAGAGTACATAAGAATTTTCTTTTCAGCTAAAATAGCGGGCATGTTCAAGCTTTTTGATTTCTATTTTTATTAATTACATTATCCTCCCTTATTGTTTTGTTATGATTTGATTTACACCCAATATAACTATATAAATACACTTTACACCCTATACTCTAGTGTTAAGAATTTCTATATTTTTTCTTGTGCATTAGAATGAAATAGATCAAAATTGAGAAAAATTGGATGCTAAAGATTCATATAATCGAGCTTAATTAGCTTGGGATTTGCTGTAGTTACTATTGTGCACTTACTCTACTCGTAATGTAATCGGAAATTTCCAGCTCATAAGTTGGAAAGTAATTTCGAAATTATAAAGACACCGAAAAAGTATATAAAGAATACATTTGACTAAAGTTTTGTAATTGATAGCAGAAAAAAGTACAAACAACATTACAAGTAGTATAACTCAGTACTATAAAAATAAAAAAGGTTCACTATATGCATAATCAATAAATTGTACCATAACTATTTGAGGAAAATTTTGACACATTAGACATTATAACCTTTCTCTCTAGAAGAGAAAAAAAACTATTCTAACTCTTACAACAACAGCAATAACAACAATAATTATACTACACGCTTCAATTTGGAGTAATTTGAGGCCGACTATATAAATCTTCACTGATCATCTGCTCCATTCAAGTTCATAATCTCAGACCAATATTATAGTACAAAATATATATTTATTATTATATGTCAAATTATATATGACATACCTCTTACATTTGAGACAATAAACAATTATTGAATCACTAACATATTAAATTTTAAAAAAAAAATCACTTAATGTGGGGTACTAGCTGCAACAACTTTAAGAATATCTAAGGGAATATGAATAAATTTAACTAAAGCATTACGTGCATTAGCAACCTCTGCAATATGATTATCAACATAATCTTCAACATCAACAGAATTAGCAGTTCTCATTGCCTTAAGACGAGGATAACAAACTTCAAAATCTGTTATGGCAGTTGTATAGTATTTAATCGCGTCGTTAAACGCGCCATTAACAGTAGAATCAACAGCGTCATTAATTAACTCTATCGCGGGTATGAAATGGTCGTTGCAATCGCTTAAAGCTTGTTGTGTATCGGACGATAATTGTGCGCTATTATTCAAAAGTTTCAATCTCACTGTAATTGACACATTTGTAGCTTCTTGTTCAATTTTTTTGAGTGCCAAAAATGCTATTGTTTTTAAATCGGCTTTTTGAAGAGATTCGAGGTCTGATTTAGATCTATCTGTTTGAATCCACGAAATACATTCGTTATCGTTATTACATGCTTTGATAAGATTTGGTGGAGGAATTTGTAAAGGTAGAATTTGAAGTCTTCCTTTGACAATAGGTAATTGAAAGGTAAGGCTTAGGCAAAGGAAAAAGGCTAAAGGAATTAATTTGACAAGAAAAGAATTTGACCTCCTTGAAATCGAGAAGGAGATCAAAGCCATCTTAGTTATCTTTTTCTTTCTTTCTTTTTTTCTTGTTTTTTCCTCTCTTTTTTTTCCTTCCTTTTTTTCAAATTTACTTGAGTATTATCATTATCTTCTTGTTTTCTCTCTTTTATAAGAAAAATATTATTGATAGTTGAAAAAGATTGGTAGAGATAAATGATCTCTCTACCACCAATTATGAAGTGGTTTGAACTTTTTTGAGGGTCTAATTTATTCCCTTTTCTTGTTATAAAAATGAACTAATTAAAATTGAAGGATTGTGTTGTATCCATGTTTAAAAGTGAGGGGAAAGGGTTTTTTCTTTTTTTTGAATTTATTTTTGTTTTTGTTAATTATATGTGTTAAGTTTTTGTTACAAATTACACGTGTCGTTCATTGATTGGCTTATTTGCCACGTCATTGGCAAGTGTAACTCACATATATGATCTTTTGCACTCGAGTATTTACTTGATCTACGTAATACACACTTGAAGTGTCTAATTGATAAAGGGGTCAGTTGAGGTGTTTGTTTGATCGTTGTGGACAACTTAAAGGGGCCATTTATGTATTTCGCCTTCATTTTATTAAGTTTACTTCCTTTAGGAAAAAAATGTAAAGAAAAGCTTAATTTTTCTTAGAATTGTGTTGGTTATAGCCTATTCAATTGGATCACGCTGTATATAGCGGCATTCTTCACAACAATTAGCAAAATCACTAAAAGTAAACGAAATCTGAACATAGTACAATCAGACCTCTTTATATTATATAACAATAATTCACTATAGAAATCGAACTTTTCTTGTAACCGATTTTTATGTTATGTTATGATATATGTCCTATATAACATCACTTATATATAGCAGCCAAAAAATATTGTATCAAACAAGAGTACTATAGAGAGGCTGGACGGTAGATTATATTCTTAAATCTATTCGTTTCCTATTCAAGATATAGCAAATTCCTCTCAATGTTATCGATCAATTTACCTATAAACTAATCGAAGTATTCAATGTATGATCTAGGGTCTGTTTGGAAAGCCACAGGTAATTGGAATTGGTGTAATTATTACAACCTAGTAATTACATAGTTGTGTAATTACGACGACCTGTTTGTTTGTTATAGTGTAATTACAGTGTAATTACAAGTTTACTATTTGGTTGCACAAGTGTAATTACACAGTTAAATTAAATTTTAAATGAAGTAATTACCAAAATTTAAAACTTAATATAATAAATATATGCATATAAATTTTTATAAGTATAAATGATATTATATTTGGTGTCTAAGATATATATTTTTTCGTAAATATACATTAATTAGTAATCATATATTTATAACTAATGTTGTTAAAATAATTTATATATATTTTCCAATTAATAATATTTAGTTTAGATACTTACAAAAACTAAAAACATACGTTTTGTAAGAACATCATGGAATTCATGTTTTATAAAAAAAAATGAACAACAAGCAATGTGAGCCAATACTACTAAAACAAGTAAATTGGAACCATCAATATAGCACAATTTTAAAATCCAAAAAAAAAAAAAAAAATTAACATATGTCAAATTCCAACATAATAATAGTAAGTTCCACTACAACTTAAGATTAGGAAACATAACAAGATTATAACCACATTCAACAATTAAATTTCACGTTAATTGCGTCACTCATTATATGCCAAGTTTGTTAATGACTTATTATTTCTAATATTAGGAGGTGTAGTTTCAAAAAATAGAATAATAAAATATAAATAATTATACGGAATCACAAGAAATAAAGGTAGAGAAATAAATGATAAATAATGTACAAAGAAAAATATATTTTAAAATTTCAAAAAACAATAAAAAGTAAAAATAAAATTAAAAAGTAAAATAATAGAAATAAAAAGTTATAAAGAAAATAAAATAAAATAAAAACAAAAGGGCAAGAAACTAAAAAGTAAACCTTGTAATTACACGGTGTAATTACCACCAATTCTCACCTCCCTCTTGAGAATTGGAGAGTGTAATTACACCCTTTAATTACACCCAATTCCATGATGACTAAGTAATTACTTGGTCAAACAAATATGACAAACTGTGTAATTACACCCAATTACACTCAAATCCAATTCCTAGGTGGCTTTCCAAACATGCTCCTAGTGTTTATTAGGGAGCGAAGGCTTGGGCACCTCAACGACAGTGATGCATGAATAATTCCATCCACCACGACTTGGACAAATAAGAAATAATCATTTAGCATTTTGTCTCTTTTTTGGGTTCAAAAATTTATCTCCCCTAATTTTCACCCACTTCATTGACCGCTATGTTATAATTGAGAGTCTCAAATAAACTGGATTCTGAGAACTGAATACAAAATGCAATAAGAAGAATTATAGATAGTTGACTAGTTTCTATGTCTATAGTATTGTAACTAAATGTAACACCATTCTACACTTTAACCCTCAAAATGTCATAAACACCTTATAGACTATGTTGATAACAATCAAAATTTCACGAAAGATACCAAGTGATCATACTATTGAGCTAGCTACAGAATAAAAGGGCAGCCCGCTGCATTAAGCTCTCGCTATGTGCGGGGTCCGGGGAAGGGCCGGACCACAAGGGTCTATCGTATGCAGCCTTACCCTGCATTTCTGCAAGTGGTTGTTTCCACGTCTCGAACCCGTGCCCTTCTGATCACACGACAGCAACTTTACCAGTTATGGAATAGTAACTTAAAGCTGAACAAGTTCCCTGCAAGGAAAAAATGAATATTCTGCTGATCGCGGAGAAGTTAATTTATTTCCCAAGTTCACACCAGTACCAAGTAGCAGCCAAATAAGCAGCAGCAAACTCCTAGTCCAAACGGCTAAGGGGTTAAGATAAATATCTTGAACTTCGAACTAGCATCAACACGTCTGATCCAGCAACAAAACCATAAGAACTACTCATTCTTATGGTATTTCCGCGACCAAAGATAGCAGAAACACCGTTACTCACTCTCGGTAAGTCATCAAAAGGAGGATATACCTTTCGAACGAGCTAACAGCATTTGTGTACTATAAGATATCAAGGTAGAAGAAGCTTCTTAGAACTGGATATATCATGCGTGTCTCCACTAATAAATATTTCCGCAGCAGCAAAGACAACTGTATGGCTCTGTTCTTCAAAGCCTGAGACCAAAAAAAACAGTCACGTATAATTCAAGCAAAAGAAGCAAACATTAAATAATAGCTTAAATGAAGAAAATGGATAATATAACATGATATAATAAAAGAATCTTTTCTTCGCCTTTTCCAAAAGGGTGCTTCTGAATGCTAATAGCGTCAAGCAATTTAATAGAAGAGTTGAAGAATGAATGAGTTATAATGGAGATAATGATGTGTGCTAAAATAACAACCTACTTTCCTCTTTTCGAATATTGTCTAGGTTGCATGGTAAGAAGGCGTATGTTGAGAAGAAATTATTAGTAATGTTTAGGCAGATGCCGATCCAGGAAATCTTAATGGCTTTAGTCTTACAGGTTTTTAACACTGAATTCATTGTATATTTGCGATTCTGGGTTCATAAGTTCACATTTATTGTAATTTTCGTAGCTTTCACAATACGCTTATGCTGCGTGTCAAAAAATACTGTTTGAACCCATAAAAACTATGCTACATCCCACAGGGCGTATAGGCAAAAGATAGAGCTAAGAATGTCCACCTAACTCCTGAGCATCTTTGACATCGGGCGTAAAGAAATCCTATAGGATGAAAGAACTACTTCACTATGAGCATAACATCATACAACCTAATCGACGTAAAGGGTAATCGTTCCTAGAGTCCTGAGCATCAAGCCCAAAGTACAATCAGACCATGCAAAGGCCTATGAAAAAACATAATATCTTTGGTTAAAAAGAGAAAGGTGAAAAGAACGAATCCATTTAAATTCTCGTATGAGTTGAGTCCTTAGAGATAATGAGTAGATGAAAATTAAAAGATCTCCAAATTGCCCTGCTCCGCCACTTTTATAGGCCTCATTGCAGCAACAAGTCTCAATCCTGAACAGAAAATTACATTGATATTTGTGCTTAAATTTTTTTCAATTGCTTTAGCTTAACTGAAATAGCTTTACTAGTTCATTCTAAATACAAGTTAGCCATTAAGAAAATAAATTATCTTTCAGTAAGTATTACGAGAAGTGATTATCCAATAAGCTTAATATGTTACAGCTTCTAAAGCAGTCGATGCAAGAGCTATTAAGAAGCCATTTTCTGACCAACAAGGAACCTAGTATGAAACAAGTTTATGCAAAACATAGAGTATACGAACCTCAACGTAATCCAAAAATCTCCTCCGGAGGATCATATATATGCCGATCAGGAAAAATCTCCTCAAAGTCTTGCTTAACTCTGTTCCTTAATAGGGGATGTGGCAAAAGTCCCTTCAATAAAATCCTGAAAGGCAGCTCCTCGGGTGGATACGGAGACTTTTTCATGTCCTCGAAAATGTTCATAGCATCTGCAGGAGATCCGTCTCTCAAGAAGCCCCGAATAACTTCAGTGAATGTCTGACAATCGGGAAATAGATCTTCCTTTCTCATGCTCTCCCATAACTTCATTGCATCATCCATCTTTCTCCGTCTAGCCAATGCTATGATCAGGTCCTTGTAAAGATAAACATCGGGTTGGTACCAGTCCTGTTTCTGAATCACCCAAAACACCTATACATACAAACAATTAGTTGTGTGTGTTAATGCCATTCCATATTGCAACCGAAGCATAAAAAGGAAATGCATAGCTTCTCTCTCTCTCTCTCTCTCTCTTTCCCCATAATGTAAGTAATTCTATTCATAAAAAGATTTCTCATATCGAAGCAGTAAACCAAAAAGTAAAGAATCTACAAAAGAATACGAGTCTCTACAATCGATAACACCTCTTCTTTACAAGCTAGAAACTCAAGGGTGCAGCAAAAAGAAACTATTTATGAGAAGCTATTCCTCAAACAAGGGTCAAATAAAAAGTGTCTCTTTCACTGTACCGGACATCATCATTGTAGCTCAAACAAATTCAATACCTCCCACCACAAGCGAGTTTCCACCTGACAATGTAGGAGGAGGCAGCCCACATCTTTATACGAATATTAGATCGTAAAGCACCGAGTAGCATCTGTAATCCTCTGTTTTTTTCCCAAATTCTCAGTTGTCAAGATCACTTTACATATGTCCATTGTATCACAGAGCATTAGAAGAATTAAGTCAATATCACAGTTCATCTAGCATAGTTTCTTAAGTCTACATCTACATAAACTTCAATTTCAAATTAACGTAAAAGGACAACTTCACAATCAAACTTATCATAAAGCCACTGAAAACTATTTATCCAAATCTATCATTTATGATCTAATATAAGCAACTTCTCCTATGTATCATCACCATAAGCATCAACTATATACTCGATAATTGTAAAGTACCAAAAGCACTTTACTGCAGCATCTTCCTTACAAGTTACAAGTGAAACTGTACAAATTTATCGCTTCCAAGTAAACTTGGGAAATTAGATGAATGGTAACATTACCATTAGTCATGAGGATCCGGAATATCACACATTAATTTACCAAAACAAAGACTCAATAACGAAAAGAAAGATAGATTCTTTGGGAGCCTTCCTTTCTTCAAACAAACGAAAAAGAGATAGAATCGGGCCGAAATGCCTTTCTAGATATTCCTCAGTGTCCCAACTATCACTAGAGGTGGATGGAGCCTATATTCAATGTTCAACTGAACCCAATATTTATAAACCAATACAACAAATATTAAGTTCTAAATCTATAACTCAAAAGTACAATGCGTCCAATATAAAGAACCTTAAAGGTTGAACCTTTCAAGTTTATTCACACAACGTGAGAGCATTCTAACCCTTCCACAATACCTAGACACTATAAAGGGACACACAAGAAACATTGCAGCTTTGCATTATTATGATTAAAACAATAACTTCCTACTCTTTTTTAAAAGACACCGTGGTGTCCGGGCCAGCTTATGCACAGACTAATTCCCCGAAAACCTGTTACCTCTCCAACAGATACCAGGTAACTCTGTAACTTCCTATTATACTAAATACAGCAATAAAACCTCTGAAACAGAACATGAAAAATAGTAAAAGTCACAATCTTTTGCAGTAAAAAACTAACCTTAACAGCAAGAGAAACCTCTTCTTGTCTTTCAAGTTCATTAAGGACAGCAATCAAGTCCATTTTTAACAGCCTAAGTACATGTGTTTTAACAAACTTATCAAGCTTTTCTTCATCATCTTTGAATCTTTTTAACCCAAGTATCACAAATATTGCTTCTTTTCCTATTAACTTTTTACCCCTCCAAAGTGGTCCTCTTGGTCTTCCATCATGGTAAAATCTCACAACCCCTAAGAAACTTCTAGAAAACTGTGGGACCCATGTTGAGGAACAAGAAGAAGAGGCTAAGTTTGAAGAGATTTTTGGTAATGGAGAAACAACTGAAAGGTGTTTAAGGAGAAATAAAGATGGGATTTTTAGTCTTGAAATTGCTCTAGTTGACATTTTTTGAGAATTGGGTATTGAAGGGGAGAGTGTGTAGGTGAGGGTGAGGGTAGGGGTGGGGGTGGAGGCGGTGACGGTGCTGCTCCGGCGGAAGGGTTTAAGGGGTTGGTACTAGGGTTGAGAACTTCAGATTATTAACTTGAAATTGGAAAGAACAGTAGGAGTGGAAAATGATCAATTTGCGAAAAAATGACCAATTTAAGATGCTGTGACTATTTTGCAAAAAGGCAAAATATACTATTTGGCTTTTAAAGTGGTCGAGAATTACATTGAACTAGAGAAATTCAAAAATATCCAGAAGTGGTCGTTCAAAAATAGTCACAGTTTCAAAAGTAATTAAAATTTAGCCATTTTTCATGTAAAGATAAATCTAAACGAAATAACTATTCAAAATCTGAAAAAATACTCCAACATAATATACTGGAGTTCCACTATAGTATACTGATACTCCAGCATAATATACTGGAGTTCCAGTATAATATACCGATCCAGCATAATATGCTGGAAGTTCATACACAGTTGCACCGAACTCCAGTATATTATGCTGGGCCGATCTCTGTTGCAGCAAAATAGTAGTTATTTTTTATTGACTTGGCAAACCCTGATTATTTTTGAATGATCAATCCGAAAACTGGCTAGATCATGTTATTTTAACCAAATTATTACTAGTAGTATATCATGTATAACGTCTTTTTAAAAGACATTAAATTTAATTGGCCAAACGGCCATTAAGGTACAGCGTCTTTTAAAAAGACGATATATATATTTTGGTCACTATATTTTTTCGCATATTTTTGTTTTTGAGTCTAAAAGAACAACTTTTTGGTTCCAGGTACGTCAAATTAGTAGTCAAATGTTTTCTTTCAAGAATCTAAAACCGGAAAAGAGTGAATTAATTACTAATGTTTGGTGGTAACTATAGATTAGATGCAATTGATTGAAATTTTCATAATTTTTGCTCATAAAATTGCAAAATATTTAAAGTTTTTTTCCTTTTATAAAAGGAGGAATGATTATATAAGAAGTCAAACTCTAGCACAGTTGGATACTACTAGTTTCTAATAAGCTATGGATAATTCACAAATCAAGACTATTTTCTTGTTATTCATTTTCTTCTTTTGCTTTCCACAAGCAAAAGGGAATATCTTCAAAGGGAAAAAATATACAGTTACTATACATAATTTCCTCCCAAATGACAACCCACCACTATATTTTCATTGTGCATCTGGAGATGACGATTTAGGATACCATTCACTTGCTGCACTTGGTCAATTCTCTTGGTCATTTCGTCCTAATATGTGGCTTTGGGCTAGAACAATATTTTTTTGTCATTTTTGGTGGGGTTCTAAGGACAAAGCTTTTGTGGTATACAATGATTTTGATTATTGTGTTCATAGTGCAAATGTTCCAAAAACAACTTTTTGTCAATGGACTGTGGAAACGGATGGTATTTATTTGAGTAACGGTCAAGGTGTTGGTTATAGATATGTTGATTGGTGAGAGATAATAGTTTATCTCATAATATGTAACTTTTCTTCTTTTATATATATATATGTAACATTTAACCTTAACGAGAAGCTTTAATCGAAATTAAAATATTGCATGTGTGACTTTCTACTTGTTGATGGGTCAATATTCCAATACTTGACAAGTGATTACAAAAGTAATTAAGTGTATGGTAATTTTATTCAGTCGAAACAATAGTCTTTTGAAATTAGGATTTTTTTGTTCTTCCAACAAATTACAGACTCCAACAGCTGAAAAAGTCGATATGATAATTTCTACCGATAGTGTCAAGCTAATCAACAACAACGATAACAACTATAGCTCAATGTTATTGCAAGAATGCAAGTTAAAGTCAAATATATGAAGCTTCATATATTGTCCATGTCGCTCCATTTAAATGTACATAGGTCGAATCGGTTCGAATTTTTCAATAGCGTACATGGGTTGGGTTGATGTGTACATCCCTAGCTGTAATGATAGGATTATTTCCATGACTTTATAAATCGGTTATTAATCGTCTCAACCCATTATTCAATCGCATTGGTGGGTCTAAAATGTAGTACGGGGGTTTATGTGAATCTAGTAATTAGTGCCTAAAATCATATTTGACGGTACTAATTCATATAACTCGGTTCCATGACCATAGTGTCGGATTTTTAAATTTATATACCAAATCAATGAAGTCGGATTTTTCAAACACGATTTTTCTTGGAATTTTTGGGTTTTTGAGTTTTTTCTAGTAAAGTCCTCATAGCATAAAGTATGTGATATGTGCTCCAAATATGTCACGATCCGGATTTTCCACCCTCGGGAGTTGTGGTAGCACCTACACGTAGAAGCTAGGTAAGCCGCGAGATATAGAAATTACTAACTCTTTCAATTTAATCCTTTTAAACAATTTGAATTAACAGGTAATCAACATTAAATATTAATGATAAACAGGACGAGCGGAAAACTTAAACAGATAAAGATAACCAAAGTCAATACTGCAATGCCAATATACTCCTCTACCCGGAGTCTGGTGTCACAATATCACAGACTATCTATAGAGTACTACATACAAAGGTCTGAAAAATGAAATACAGTGTATCTTGGAAACAAGTGAAAACAAAACACATACATGGATAGAAGAGAACGTCGGGTCTGTGGACACCTGCAGGACTACCTCAGGATCTCTGGCTGGACTGAAGGCAGGCTCCCCAAGTGATACTGTCCAAAAGCTGCTCTAGAATCTGCACATAGTGCAGAGTGTAGTATCAGCACAACCGACCCCGTGTGCTGGTAAGTGTCTGGTCTAATCCCGGCGAGGTAGTGACGAGGCTAGGACCAGACTCCAGATAAACCTGTGCAGTTATATGATAT